CCACCGCTGCTACTGACGTGTGAATCATCCCAAGGGTTCTCGCGGAAGATCAGCGCTGGGTACTTCGATCAGAAGCATCCAGCATTTATAGCTGAGCGAGGACTCAATCCGGACAGCACTGCATACATATTTTAATTATTTTGTTTGTCCTGTTATTACATGTTTATTGTTTATTCCTTTTTAATTACTTTGTTGTGTGTTTTTTTTTTTCTCTTATTCCAAATTGTGTTGTAGTGGTGATAAGATTAAATGTTATTTTTAGTCCAAAATACTCTCAAAACTAACCTTAACCCCTAAATGCATGATGTATTTACACATCAGTCTTCTCTTCCAAACCCAATAGACTATTTAATTTTTTTTTCTTTATTTTTCTCTTAATCTATGTTCAATTTACTACCCGTTTCAATTTATGCTATTTGAAACGAAAAAAAATCGTGCATTTAAGAGTTAAGGGCTAAACACATAAGCAATCAATGTTTGTTAAAAGTGGATAATTGGACACAAAGTCGTAACTTTAAAAGAGTTGCTTTCTACTGGGAAATTTTTTTTAATATATTGACAGGCGGGCATAAAATAAAATACAACTGATGAAAAAAAACTGTCTTATTTGAACCAAATCACATATTGAATATGCATTTTTTAAATCTTTTTTCTACAGGCTCCACCGAAGATAGAACCACAACAGCGTAAGTTACAGCGCGCGTTGGTCCTGCCGATGCGACGCTGCATTGACAATCAGAAGATTGTCATCCAAGTGCCCAGAGACGTGCAGACTGACACAAACACTAATATCACTACTGATTTGGAAAACAATGGAGAGAATAAAAACAAGTTAGTATACATTTAAGCACATTTTTTTCTCAATTTACTCACATTTGTTAACTTTAACACAAGTAATAGTAAAAAGTGTACTAACTTATCAAATGGTACCTCTTCTAAGTCTTGTAGCAAATTATTTCAGGTCATCAAATAATATAGTGAATAGAGAAGATAAGGAAATAATATCGCCAGTTCATATAACTAAAGTAATTAATAACACGGACTATGTCCCGGATAGGACTGCCAGTAAGCGAGACGACACACTCATCATTGAAACAAAGTGAGTAATTAAAATATCCGGCTCGAAGGACCATTAATTTGGAAATGTTTATTTTTTAATTATTAAGGTACTAGCCTTCGCCCGCGATTCCGTCCGCGTGCAAATAAAATAAAACAAAAGCGATTAGCCTATGTGTTCTTCCAGACTATCCTCTACACCTATGCTAAATTTCATTCAGATCTTTGCGTTTACAAACTCTAAAAAACATCCATCCATCTAAACTTTCGCATTTATAATATTAGTAAGATCTCTAAAATTTAATTGACTTATTCAAAAAAAATGTATAGTGCTTAGCTTAGTTACGTTTTACGCTCTTACTTTTTAAATAAAATATTAGCGTTTTTTTGTTTAATTTCAGGAATAAACAGAAGTCGAATTCAAAAAAACATAGAAATACTCAATTTATTGTAACAATGGATGGCTTCCAGCCCAACACATTCCTTGCAAAGAAGCTCATGATGGAGGGATTACTAGATGAAAATGATGAGCTTGCAAAAACAGCACTGCCTAAACCGGCAAAAAGTGTGTTGATCACCAAGGAAACTGAAGAGGCCAAAGAAAAAGAAAACAATGAAACAGTTCAAGAATATGAAAACAAAGAAGATGAAATAATGCAACAAGAGTCACCAGCAACAGAAAATTTAACAAGAAAACTAAGTGATTCAAGTGAAATATCCAAGATCGAACCAAGTGATGTAGAAATTAAAGCATTAAGTGATACAAGTGATAAATGTGATAATCAAAAGAAAAGATTAAGTGACGCAAGTGAGGAAAGTTACACACAAGTTATAATAAAAACAGAACCCCAAGAGACGGGAGAGAAAAGAAAGAGTGTCGATGGAAGTGTTAGTGATGAGAATTCTGAAAAAATGTTGACACCACCTATTAAGAAAAGAAAAGCTTCGCCTATCGTTTTTAATATAGATAAGAAAGAGAAAGAAACAGAAAGGGCGAGAGAGCGGACGCAGAGTGCGAGCAGTGATGGCCATGTGACCATCACCACCTCCGCTAATTCTCATAAGTTTGATTCTGTACCACCCTGTAAGTGATATTTCAACAAATATTTTTATAAACTAAGAACATATTTCTTAGTAGATTTGAACATTAATATTTTAAGTGTCAACAACACTAGCATATAATATTTAAACATTATTTTACTTCCAAAAGCTTAAATAATAATGTATTGTTCATGCCATTGTGTAAAAATTACCATTAACATAACAATCTTATTTCTTTGCTATTTTTAAACAATTAATATAATTGTTTCTAGCGATATTAATTTAACACTGAACTAGTGGTCCCGCCAGGAATGCGCGCGAATATTCCTCCTTCTAATGACATTGACAGCTGTCAGTTAGAGATGTGACGTTTATGCCAATAATCTAGTGTTGCGCCAATCCTACAGCGCTGTACTAATTTTCTTCTTAACACTATTGACGTAGTTTTTGTTCCTTGATAACAATTTTATCCTAATCACCTAAATTAAATACCACAAAAATTAGCCTTTTGTAAGAGACTTTTTATTAATAAAAGTATGATTCATAATATGCTGTGATTGCTGTCATCATACATAACAAAGAATTGTTTACGCTTTGTTAGTATAGATGGAAGCTAGTCTGTTAAAAGTATATTTTACTACATTTCGACAAATAAATAATAAGTATGCAGAATCATAGTAATTTAAATCTAGTACCAATCTGAAAATCTGTCAATTGAGATTATTTTCAGGATTTGCTTTTATATTTTTTTTTTTCTAAAAAATTTCTAAAAACATTTTAATGGCGCTTAAAACAAATAGTTTTTCACCCATCGATGTGTTTCCAGTGAGTGTAGCGGAACGTAAGTTAGTATGGTGCCGTGCGTTTCCGTTGTGTCGCTACGGGTCTGCGTGCGCGTTCGCTCACCCGCGCTGCAAGTTCGCTGCGGGCTGCACGCGCCGCGCCTGCGTCTACTCGCACTCCCCGCACTCCCCGCCCGCCTCGCCGCCTGCTATCGGTCAGTTGGACATTTTTTATAACATAAGCGCCCACCTGTATCCGCCAAAATGGCCCATAGACATCCGCAATTGCAGATGCGTTGCCTACCCTTAATTGATGGAGGAGGAGATGCACATAAAGAGGATATTTCCTCTTCCTTTGCATCTCCTCCACCGTTAAATCCACTTCCCCTTCCCATCCTCTTATAAGAAAAGGGGGGTAAAAAGAAAGGGACTTAAATTAGGCCTCCGGCACCACACTCATCAGACTGTACACGGAATTACTTCCACTTCACGCCTGTCTTCTGTGTGGTCGTGGTATTACTGGGGTCGTGTCGGCCCTGCAGTGCTAAGATATTAAAGCGGGCACTACCACTATTAAAATTTGATGCGTGTTACTATACAGTTAGTGTCGTGTAAAGCGGCAATGGATTTGATACATACCTTGTCGATTGTCTCTGTTATACATTGACGTGTTAGTATGTTAGTGATTTAAGAGTTCGTTTGTAAAGCGGTAATGGATTTAATGCTGTTTTTATGACGTTATCCAAATACACCATTTATTATGTTAGAAAGACTAGCTTTCGCTCGCGACTCCATCCAAATGAAAAAAAAAAACAAATTAAGTACCCTATGTGTTCTTGTGGTTTAAAAAAAGACAAAAGTGACTAGCCTATGTGTTCTTCCTGACTATCCTCTACATCTACACCAAATTTCATTAAAATCCGTTCAGCAGTTAAGGCTATAAACTGTAACAAACATCCATCCATCCATCTAAACTTTCGCATTTATAATATTAGTACGATTGATTCCAGAATTCTTTGTAATATTTAGACAGTCAAAATTGAAGGAAAATCTGATCTTACTTTAACATTATAAATGCGAAAGTTTAGATGGATGGATGGATGTTTGTTACAGTTTGTAGCCTAAACGGCTGAACGGATATCTATGAAGTTAGTCACAGATGGAAGAACACTTGGCTACTTCAAATCTATTTTCAATATAAATGTTTTTTTACAGCATCTCACGTAGTACCCGCAGCGAACTATAAAACAATATCATCAGTGGGTGCGATCAGTATTTGTAAATACTACCCTAATTGTGTGAACCCCGGCTGCCACTTCTACCACCCGAAGCCGTGCCGCTACGGCAAGGCGTGCGGCAACAAGCTGGAGTGTAACTTCTACCACAACGACGCGCCCGCCGCCAAATGGAAATATGCGTAGTACGAAGTATTAAAATGTACACATTAAAGTGGAATTATAAATGTTTTTTAATTTATCTTGACTTGTTTTATTACTTTACTAACTTTCGCCCGCGACTCCGGCCGCGTGGAACTAAAAAAAATAAAAATAGCCTATGTGTTGTTCCAGACTACCTTCTACATCTATACCAAATTTCATCGAGATCCGTTCAGCCGTTTTGTCTACAAACTCTAACAAACATCCATCCATCTAAACTTTGCATCTGTACGATTATAATAAAGCGTAAACACACACTTCTTTGTTGCCTAAGATGTCAGCAATTACAGCATATTTTTGAATAATACTTTTTGTAATAAAAAGCTCTACACTTACGTCACGCTTTAGTCTACATATTTTCACGCCATTAAACTTAGGGGGTAAATATTTTGGATAAAAACACTAATGTGGGAAAGAGACCATAAGTTGCTGCCAACATCAAGGAAGCAAGACTGTCAAGGTTTGTCTTGTCATTTTGACATTTGCTATTGATAATTTAACAAATGTAAACACTAAAACAAAATTTTCACAATTTCATGCGGATGCAGCCGCATGGGAACAGCTAGTTTATAATATTAGGAAGAAATAAGATCTATACTTGTATACTAATATTATAAAGATGTACGATTTATGTTTTTGTATATATAGAGAAAATTCAAAAAGGGCTGGTTAAAATTAAAAAATCCTTTCACCATTAAACAGCTACGTTATCTATATACATAACAAAATATATCTTACTAATATTATAAATGCGATTAGATGGTTGGATGGATGTATGTTAGAGTATGTGGCCTAAAAGGCTGAACGAATCTGGACGAAGGATGGAGTTTATTCAGTCAAGTATGTAGCTACACTGGTCTTTGAATTCTGGTCTGAATCTGAGCTGTTACAATTCATTGCGTTTGAGTACAACTAGAATTGTCCATCACAATAAAGGTGATCGTTACTTTAACAAGGAAATCTATGCCCGAAATATATACCCACGCTAGTTGAGACCAATTGTATGTAACCTTAGACCAAATTTTTTAAATTGCTTCTGGTAATGTATGCGAATATTTTTCTTTTACGCTTTATTTGCAATCGATCTTTATATTTTAGGCAAATGTGATAAACGAAGGGTTTAAAACTACTGCATAATTTCTGTTAATATTGCTTAAACTGAAAAAAAAGAACGCCACAAGTGCTATATCTAGTCTTATTTAGCTATGATAAAATTAACATACATTGTTTGCAATACTTAATTATACCTTTGCTGTGTAAAATGTTTAATTTAGGTTAAAAATGATTCTAATACTTGGCAATTATATCAGGCAATGGTCATGAACTATGAAAACTGTACATTGAATCTAAATTTAACATCACCTAGCATTTAGATGTATGCTAAGCTATTTTAGTTAAGGGCATTTGAAATTATATAGTCGCAGTACACTTATTAAATTTTAAAGTGTTTAAATTTCGCGTAGTATTTTTTTGCTGTCTCTACGTTAGCGGTCTCATTGGAGATGCTTAATACAATAAATTGATAACTACTATACCGGTGAGTACCCTATCATCCTGTCATTTGCATGCTCTCCATACAAGAGGGGGTCACTACAATTTGTCAAACACCAAACAGTAAAGTAGACTTCGAATTTTCGGTCTGCATTTTTAAATTCGGTGAGTATTAACATTATTTGCCTATTTGGATTAAACTAACTTGTTTATATTGAGTTTTAGCTTACATTTTATTCTATATACGTAGTAATTTTGTACTTAATTAGGTATTTCAAGTATAGGATTCCCCTATGTACCTTTTTTGCATTTTGAAATACAAGAATTATTACAGATTGCAAACCTTTTAACATGTAGGTTACCTCGTCACACAAGGACCAGATACTTTCTACTTTTCTTTGAAATATTAATAACGAAGGCCTTTGGATATAAATATACTTTAAGCTACTTATAGAAATATTGTTCGGTAACTTTATATTTAAATAAAGGGTGTTTTCGCTCTTTTTAGAACTATCATATCATTAATCTTAATCGCTTTCTTTCCAAGCCTTAAATTATTAAGAAAAATAACTTACAAATGTATAATATAATGAGTTTTAAGGAATTCGGAACGATAAAACTATAATAAAACCACGTAATGATCGCTTATAAGACTTCGTTGTCTCAGATTGTACAGATTTTGCGGTAAATAAAATGACATTTGAAACCTTAAACGATTTACAACATTGAATATCGGAGGGAGATTCGAAATGACTATCAAATTGTTATTCAATTGTTTTGTTTCATAAATCAAATAAAGAATAATAAAAGCTTGACATTAAATTAGTTTGTTAACGGATACATTGTGTTATTATTCCTAGACATCTTGGAAATGTTTTCGTGGATCATATAAATATTATAAAATGCGATAGTTACGATGGATGGATGTTTGTTAGAGTTTGTAGCCTAAACATCTAAACGGACCTCCATGAAATTTTGCACAAGTATAGAGCATAGTATGGAAGAACACATAGGCTACTTTTTAATCCGGGTATAGTTACGGTTCTCGTGGGATTCATTCATTTAGTTTTTTAATGTTTAATCGATCATTCTGAAACAGTTCAATATATCTTATTGAAATTTGGCACAGATATAAAACAAAGTCTGGATTGCACATTGGATAAGTTTCATCCCCGAGAAATGTCCGGTTCCCGAGCGATACGTATCTTTTTTTATTTATACAGTTCGTATGTTCTCTAATGCCACGCGGGCAATAGCTAGTAATAGTTATAATGTTGCACTTAATTTTGATATTCAAATTTTATTATTAACCCACACAGAATGCACATTATATCCTTGATTTTTTTAATAAAATATTTTATAAATTAGTCGTTGCTCGACAGGAATTCTTTCCCTCGTTTCGCTGTAATTTTAGCAATATCCGAGGGTCATTTCTTATGTTATAAATATAATAAGGCGCATTGACCTTATTACAAAAGTGTTGTATTTTATTTTTAGACCACAAGGGCAACTTAATATTTAGTCTCTGTTTAACTTAACCTGTTGATCGTCCATGTAAAAACAAAAGGCCAATTGCAATAATGAGATAACTTTCGCAAGACAGCATTGACCGTAACAGTTTCATTATAAAACTAATCTTACTAATATTATAAATGCGAAAGTTTAGATGGATGGATTGTTAGAGTTCGTAGCCTAAACGGCTGAACGGATCTCGCTGAAATATGGCATAGATATAGTATGGTCTGGAAGAACACATAGGCTACTTAGTTTTTTAACTCTACGGGGACGGAGTCGCGGGCGAAAGCTAGTATTTTATAATATTTCCGATGTACGACAGCTTGTAGTTAATGGTCCCTTTCTCACATGAATGTTTTTTCAAGTTTATTTATCCCCTAAGTTTAATAGCGTAAAAATATATAGCCTAAAGCGTGACGTAAGTGTAGGAGTTTTTATAGGAATTATTTTAAAAATATACTGTAATTGACATCTTACGACACAAAGAAGTGTGTTTTTAAGCTTTATTATATTAGTATAGATTAAGATATAAAATAGATTCGTGACTATGTAAACTGAAACGCAAACTAGCGTGCGTTAAGATCTAAGTTGCAATTAAGTAATGCCAAATAACATGCATTGATCTCAACTGTTTGTTGTGCGTAAGCAATAGCGTAACAAGGGGCAAAATTAAGTTGTCGGTTATTAATTTGCTAATTGTTCTTTATGTTTAAATTATATTCAATGCCAACATTCCTGTTTAGTGTTAATAAGTAATAAAATCTAATTACGATAAAAACATTATTATTATACATTTTTTATTTATTTCCGTATTTTCTGCATTTAATTTCTAAAAAATATTGTATCTATAATTCTCTTACTTTAATTTATGAGTTTGGAAATAAATTAACATCATAAACATAGATTTATAGCTAGCTACAATGCTAAAATCTCGTTTATATGATATTTAATACATAAAAAGTATTGAAAATGTGACATATAGTAGTTACATAAAATATGAAATTGTGTAATATAGCAGGGAATAGCTGCCACTTAAAGAAAGCGTGGCCGCCTAAACAAACCTGGCAGCGTTCAGTGGCGGCCGACTTGAAGGCAATCGGGCTGTTATGGTCCGAAACACAACGCAGAGTTTAGGACAGAGCGAGCTGGCGGCGTGCTGTGGACGCCCTCTGTCCCACTTTGGGGACATAGGAAAAAAGAGAGAGAGAGCAGCCACTTAACATTGAATGCAATTATAGTTGTAATAGAAGACTTTCGTTTAAACAGCATTTCAAATCTATTTAAGAAACATATTGAGTTATTTACAAAAAATAAGACAAATTTTATAACTAGACTAGCTGTTCCTCTGCGGCTTCATCCGCGTGTAATTATAAGAACTTTATTTTATTGTTTACATTTGTCAAATTATCAATTACAAATGTCAAAATGACATGATATAATAACAACCTTGCTTCCTTGATGTTGGCAGCAACTTATGGTCTCTTTCCCGTATTAGGGTTTTCATCTAAAATATTTACCCCCTAAGTTTAATGGTGTTAAAATATATAGCCTAAAGCGTGACGCAAGTGTAGGGCTTTTTATTTAAAAAATAATTATTCAAATATATGCTGTAATTGCTGACATCTTAGGCAACAAAGAAGTGTGTGTTTACGTTTTATTATAATAGTATAGACTAGACAATAAGTTCATTTGAATAATCTTAATACATTTCAAATCCTGATATCAATACTCAAATCAGTGACCTGTAAAAAAAAATTAATTATAATAAATAATTATATCAATTCATTGCAATATTTGTGTATTGAACGGCATGAAATTTATGAATACCACACCTTAGACCGCGTATTTATTAATTAACAAGTAATAAATTTAACGTTCGGCCTACGATCTAAAGTCTAGGTCGTGCCTAATTTTATATTTAATAATAAATTAGATTTAGACCATGTAAGGCACAAGGCTGTGAGATTCTACTGCCGTAAAACTTCTGTAAAAATATATCCTTACCAATATATCTATACTATTATAATAAAGGGTA